ACACACACACACACACACACACACAGCAGACATGACGCAGATGATTGGTTTGAACTGCTCAGGCCCAGCCTCTGTGATGCCATGTTATTATTATACACGAACACCTTCATTACGACAGTGAACTGAGTTGGAGAAAAGTTTATACAAGTGTCAAACACACCGCATCGTGTGTTCAGATCGGTGCAAAGCAGCGGAACAATCCGAAGATCTGGGGAAATAAGTTGGTGCAAACTTCAGAGAGTTTGCCAACTCACCCGCAACTATTACAAAAAGTGCTAGCTAAAGAACTAAGTAGCAAATAATGTGCAACAGAGTGTAATAACATATGATAATAATCATGATGCAGTCTGGGTTAATAGTATCTGTGCAGTTGGTTGTCTATATTCAGTCATAAGGCGAAGCAGTCCAGTTTTCACCATTGATGATAATGGCAACAGCCTAAACCAAGTTATATTCCCAAACTATCTTAAGTTTGAAATGGACTGAATGAAAGACAAGTTTGAAAATAACCCCATTAATAATAACTGTATCTAACTGCAGATACCTGATTTCCCTAGAGTTACTATCAGAGCTGATACCATTCCAGTGGAGTTAGATAGTCGTACCACTGCGTTTATTTATGAAAACCTACTGTTTATAAAATGTTGTAAATGCCTCCCTGTTTGTTTTTTGCCAGGTTGCTATGGTGGAGGTCCAGTTGGAACCGGATCATACGTATCCTCCCGGGCTGCTCATAGCCTTCAGTGCCTGCACCACGGTTCTGGTTGCGGTTCACCTCTTTGCCCTCATGATCAGCACCTGCATCCTCCCTAACCTTGAGGCTGTCAGCAACGTTCACAACCTCAACTCAGTCCATGAGTCTCCCCACGAGCGGATGCACCACCACATTGAACTGGCCTGGGCTTTCTCCACAGTCATCGGTACCCTCCTCTTCCTGACGGAGGTGGTGCTCTTGTGCTGGGTGAAGTTCTTACCCCTCAAAAGCGAAACAGAAAAAAGAAACAACACCATAAGTTCGGGCGAGGCCGCAGCCATCGCCTCCACTTGCATCATGGTGCCGTTTGGAATAGTCTTTATTGTGTTTGCCGTCCACTTTTACCGCACACTTGTTAGTCACAAGACGGACAGACAGATCCGAGAACTGGAGCAGGTCATTCGGCTCCAGAACCAGCTCGACCACCGGGCTGACAATGAAGACATGAAGGCAGTTGTTAATTTCCCTTGATCACAGCCAGTCAGCATACAGAATTATTCAGCAGTACTTTTTTAATAAATCTCCTCTTATAGCTTTTGATGAATGGTGCTTTTTACTTCTTTGTCAGGCTTGACCTTTTTTTTCAGCGCTCATGTAAATGATCTCCCCTGAAGAGGCTTGACCAGGGTCTTTCTGTGGGGAGTTTGCATGGTCTCCTGTTCCTGCGTGACTTTTCTCTGGGTACTCTGGTTATCTTCCACAGTCCAAAGACATGCTGGTTACATTATTGGGTGAGTCCCAATTGCCAGTAGACGTGAATGTGTGTGTGAATGGTTCTCTTAATGATCTGTGCTGTCCAGGATGTACCCCGCTCTCACCCAGTGATTCTTAAACGATAAGCAGTCTAGCTAATGAAGGGATATTCAGTTATATTAGAATCACTGTGATTGTATTCATTGAATGGAATGGTTGCTTGTAAGAACCTTTTATTTGTCCCTAGTTATCAGTTGTGTCAAGTGTTTGATGATTTTATCTGGTTTTTCTAGTCTGTTGAAGATCTGTATGCATAGGAAAATTAGGGTTTGAATAAAGACATGGTTTATGTCTTTGACAAAAAAAAGTAATTGTGCAATTTAAGGCAACAGGAACATTGCTTAAAAACTATGCTGGTCAGGGATATTCTTTGCAAGGTGTGTTATTGCAGTGAGCATATTTTTAAAGCAACAGTTAAAGTATGGAATCAGTAAATATTAAAGGCTTTGCTTTTTGCAATTCTATCATGCTCTTATCCAAAAAATAGTTATTGGTATTAAAACGCTTTTGTTACAAGTGTAAACAAAGAATATGCATGTTGGAAATGTTGGTTACAAATAGGTATGTTTTGTACTTTTCATAGTTTACAGGCTTGAGAATGTTCACACATTGCTAAGGTTATAAGTGTGGAATCTACAGTTTGTTCTTTTTGTCCTGTGGCACATTGTTGAATTGTTTGAAGGCAAATTAAAGAATGTGCACTTGTTTTTGTTATGTTTTTATGCTGTATGTCATTTCCCTAAATATTACCAATTAGTAAAATCTCTCTCTACAACATGAGTTGTAAATACTTAAGAATGGCAAAGAATCTTTATTGTGGCTTTTTTGTCAAGAAACAGCACAATTTTGTAATGTTGGACTCTCAACCAGATTCTGTATTTATACCAAGGCAATGATGTGGTTGTTTTTGCAATATCGGTTTTTCACAGTCATGGTGATGGTAAAGCTGCTGAAAATGAAAGAAGCTCCCAGAATGACAACACAATAGTACTGTGTTTTCATGTAAGGAGTCATAAAGGGGTAGTAACTTACTAGGTAGTTAGTAAAACTAAAGTTTAAAGTATCACACTGTGCCAAATCATTGTTGATGGTGTTTCTTTAAGACTTTTCTTTTGTTACAAAGAATTAAAGAAAGTGCTGCAGTCACTCTGGAGCACTTCTGATAAGAATATTCTACATGTGGCTTCTTTACAAATAGATCAATGCAAACAAAAGCATGTTTCTCTGTTTGTGGCTTATTTATTTAATCCAGTGTTTGTTACTGTATATAAAAAGTTTGATACTTTCTGAATGCACGGCTTTAAGTGAATTATCTGCATATACTGAATTTTTAAGTTTTAGCAGCTGAAGAAGCTTCAGCGTTTTGACCTGGTTCGATTTTCCATGACTTTTGTTTTCAGTTTGAATAAAACACAAAATTTGAAATGATTTGTGTATGTCATATTTATGTTTAGAAATACCTCGAAAAATAGACAAACCTATTCTCAAACCAAAATATATTTTGAACAATGAAGCAAGAAGGGAAACCACACAGGAAATGTATCCGAAAGGGCCGTTTTGCGGCCTACACTCGTCAGCCAGTCAGAAGCGTGACTGTGCATTACAACAACTCAAGAAAGCTACTGCACCAACACTTTCTCTGACAGCCTTGTGGCCTTTAGTGTTTCCTATGCTGCTTATCTTGCTAAGTTGTCGACAGTTTCCCTTAATTTAGAAGAACACACATGCCTGAATAAACCAAATAGTCATGCCCAAAGGAGATTGTTTGTCTGGATACTGAAACAATTCTGACCCCATGAGAGTTTTTACTCACTGTTTTTCTTTTGGCTGGTTTGTATTAAGCATTGCAGCTCAGGGTACCACAAAAGTATATCTACCATACATATATTGTGGGATTTTTGGGAAGTACTCACTGCAAAATGTTTTTTATGCATAAGTTGAGATGGGATATTACCTCTGTCACATTTAAAATCTTATAATAAAGTAATTGGTGGAAGTGAATTTACAAATCCTCATGTTTTAAATCAGTGCCTCATTATAAATCAAATTGAACAAAAAAAAGTCAGTTAAAATAATCCTATAGAATGTTGCATCCTTCTCTGTGATTTTACATCAAGATCTGATTTGTGTCCTGTTATTTGTAAGTATAAGTATATAGTATAAGTCATGAATGATACCATTCAGTGTATTTTTACTACAGTCTACTCTAAGTAACGATGTGAATATTTTTTCATCTGACTGGTTTTCTACTTGATATGTTTCACTTGTATTAATCAGATTATTATTGTGTAATTATAAACTTGTCACTCTTCAGTGACGCGTCACACCAGCCACCTGTTGACTCACCTGTTGTGCTCCTCCGCCTCGCCCGAGGACCTATATTCGGTCCCTGCCTGCCGGCGGATGGATCTATCCTCCACCCTGGTCGATGACACGGAAAACCTGAGCAGCTGCTCCAACATGTCGCTCCATCACGGGATCAAACTTCGGTACAGGTGAGCGACACAACGCTGACGTGGCACATGTGATGTAGTCACTCTGAACTGCGGATGTGTTTGGTTCCACCGTGTTGTTTGGTCTCAGAGAGGAGAGCAGCTTCTCAGGTGATGCTCTCCATCACCTGTCGGGGCGTGTTCACCTCGCAGCAGTGTCAGCCTCAGCTAGCTAACATGATGGTGTCTTCACCTGCAGGCTGTGACTAATGTAATGGAAAGCGACAGACAGAGAACAGAGAGAGAGACCCCGCCTCAGCCCTGGAGAAGCTACAAGTTGATCATTGACCCCGCTTTGACTAAAGGACTCTACAAAGTCTTCCGTTATGATGGACTGTTCTTCAACATCCCCGTGAGCTGCTCCTCCTCATCATCACCTGTCTCAGACAATGGCGACTGACTGGTGCCTCCACCATGCGTCGCGTTGTCCGGCAGGATTATTGGTTCTAACCATGCTTCTGTTTTCAACAGGTGGAGGACTTAGGTCTGTTTCCTGTGGAGACGCTCAGAGATCCACGCATCAGCCGCTTGTGGAGCAAATCCAACAAGACCGAGCTGTCAGTGCCTAAGTTTAAGGTCAGTTTATCATCATCATCAATAATGACAAAAACTAATTAGATATAGATAAGATTTTTAAAAAATGGGAAATCTGGCTTTAAGATGAGATAGGATCAAATAAGATTGTAAGGACTCAATAATAAATACATGCATGAATACATGAATTGCCTATTTTATCACCAAAATGTGTTTATTTTTTGTTTTTTATTTTAGAAATGATTTTGGAATTTAGTCATTTATTTATATATTGTTCTTCATTTATTTTTTTAGACATGTCAGTTTTAGGCCTCCAAGATAATATACGATTATCAGGGACTCAGTAATATGTAACTGCACAGATAAATAATTAAATAGCCTATTTCATTACCAAACTGTATTTTTGATAATTTCTTGATTGTAATTTAATTAATAGTTCACTTAAATATGGCAGTTTTGGTCCTATATATGAGATGAGATATCCCTGTGAACTGTTTGTTGCAGCAGTAAAGAGGATATTGAGAATAGAAACATCAGTAAAAGTAATAATAATAACTACATTAACAATATCAACCATTATAATAATACTTCTGGTTGTCGTCTGCTTGTGATGTTTCAGGTTGATGAGTGGTACGTCGGCCCCGTTCCTCCCAAAGAAGTGACATTTTCCAGGTTGAATGACAACGTAAAGGAGGCCTTCCTGACTAACATGTGTGAAAAATTTGGGAGTATTGAAGAAGTGGAAATATTTTACAATCCCAAGAACAAGAAGCATTTAGGGATCGCAAAGGTCATTTTTGACACAGTGCAGGCCGCAAGAGACGCTACTCAGCACCTCCATCAGACGTCAGTGATGGGAAATATCATCCATGTGGAAGTTGATCCTAAAGGTAAAGCTCATTTTAGCAATATTTCACATTCATATAGCGAAAAGTGTCATTGTTCATCTGTTGATTGAATTTAATATGCAAACCTTTCTCAGGGGAAAACCGGACACGATATCTCCAGCTCCTCTTACGTGGCCTTTATAATCCCTGGACGTTGCCAGTGGGCAGCAATGAGCAAGCTCTGCAAAACTTGATTGACAGTTTGCTGGTAAACACAGAGTCTGTTTGTAATGATTTGAACATTTAACTAATATTTAAAGTATTTATAAGTCTACTGTTAAAGAAATGTGTCTTTTATTGATAATATTTCTCAGTTCTTTGGATTTATCTGTATAATGTATGTTTTACAGAGCAGCGCAGCCACACAGCAGCAAGGGAGTGTTTCCAGCCCCACCAGCATTGCTACACCCCTCTCTATGGACACAGCTTACTCAAGTCTTTGGCAGGATACACCTTGCAGCTTTGGCCTCACGCCACGTTCTCAGGGAACCCCCCTCACCCCTTGCCTGTCTGTGACTCCTCTCTCCCAGGACTCTTGCTACTCTAGTCTTCAGGCAACTCCGGTCCTCCAGGGGGAGCCCTCCTCCAGCTATAGTGTTCACAAACCTTTAAGGCGAGAGCTCTGCCGTCTGAAACCTGCGAGGTATCGCCGCAGATACAGCAACGTCTCTGACGTCAACTTCGTTTTGAAGCATTGTCAACCACAGCCACCACACGCCCTTTCTTTTCAAATACAATCAGGAAGCCAGCAGTTTGAACTACGGGGTCACAATGCTCAATCCTCCACCCACATTAATACACAACCTTCATTTGACCTCACCTCCCCCTGTAAAGAGCCCAGAGATGTGATCACGGCTACCTCAAAGACTTTACCCCCGACCTGTCACTCTTTTAGCATCCTGAGCATTAATTTCCCAGCTGATGAACAGACAGCAGCATCCTCCCTACCTGAGGACCATGCATTCATAACAGAATTATCTCCATCTGCTGGAAACTGCTCCTCCAGCAGTCCCCGACCAGAGGTGGAGAGTTTGGACTCCCGCATTGAAAATTTGCTGATCAACCGCCAGAGCACTGACCCCTCACACTTTGACAGACAGACTTTGGTGGCTGAAGAGCACTCTCGGGAAAGCCCCGCCTCGCCTTGCTCCGCTCATAACTCCTCTTTCTCAGATGACTCCAGGGATCGGCTGCATGACAGTCAAGCGTCTCTCAGTGAAAATGAAGACGATGAAACTACTGAAGCTGTATCGTTTCTCACAAGAAACGCCCAGTCCCCCACTGCATCAGATTTCCCAGATTTTGAGAGGAGGGCACACATGAACAATGATAAAGATGCTAAAACTATCCAGTCATTATCACATCCAAAGGTAAGTCTTTAAGATCTCTATATACATCACAATGAAAATAAAAGTAATAGTTGTAAATGTAATGGCTGGTAGTGTTTACCCTGTGAGTCTGTGTGTGTGTGTGTGTGTGTGTGTGTGTGTGTGTGTGTGTGTATGTGTGTATGTGTGTGTGTTTGTGTGTGTCATCCTCGCAAAACATGGTCCTGTAAGCTCATACCATAGCTGGACCTATTACAGAAGTGGTTTTGAGAACTTTGGCAAGTGCTGCCAAAATATGTCTGTCTGTAGGTGTGTCGTTGAGATTAGAACGAATGCCGAATTTGAACATGCCGCAGGTGGTGTGATCCCATCAGATCATTGTCTGAACTATAATTCATCTTTTTTTCTCCTCATACTCAGGAGCATCATGCAGTGAATGAGGAACACTCAGCCAACAGACCGTCTGGAGCTCTGACACCAACAGAAGACGGCCCCTCACTCCCTCAGCCTCCCACTGCAATAACAGCGGGATGCCCTCATCCACCAGCCACATCTTTCCCTTTCCCTGTTCCTCCCTTTCCCCCACCTCGCCTGCCAGATGGCACCATCCCCATCCCACCTCCAGGCTGGATTCCCCCTCCTGGCCATCATATTGGTATCCCCATCCCTCCTCCTCCTATACCACCTCCTACTTCTATTCCTCCCCTAACCACTTTTTTGGGACCCCCTCCACCTTTAATGGTGCCACCTTCTGTTCCCCCTCCTGTGCAGACATACCATTTATCCATGCAGCCTACAAGCCGTTTGGCTGAGAGGAGTCCTCCGAGGCATGGCTTCCTTCAACCGCCCTGGCCTGCTCCTCGTTTCCCTAGGTTTAACCCATTTGTGCCACCACCAGACTACCTGCTGGTGCGGGAAGACCCTCATAAGGTCACAGTAGATAAAGTTTTAGAAGTCCTCATGGATGAACTAAAGTCAATCATTAAGAAGGACATTACACGTAAAATGATTGAAGGGGTTTCTTTCAAGGCATTTGAGGACTGGTGGGACTGTCAAGAGAAGAAATCAAAGGTGAGTTCTTCACAGTGGCCGATGACATCACCAGAATAAAGATGTTAATTTGTTGTTTCATTCATAAGATACAAGTTTCTCCTTTGAAAAATGGACCGGAAAGTGTGGATGAGACAAACAATCAAATAAATCCCCTCAGTCATATGAGTGGCAAGGGCAAAAAACCTCCACTACCGTCCTTCAAGGTAAAATAATCTGCTCACTATACTTTGAACCACTCTAGCATTTATCCTCTGAGTGATATAGAACTCAATTTTATGTAAAATAACATTGTTATGCAGGTTAAAAGGAAAAGAGCAGATGATCTTGCCACACCAAAAGAGACAGACGCTGTGTTGTCCTCTGCGCATGAAATTTCTGGTCAGTGTTTTTAGTTCATCTAATGCTCATTTACCATATGCTAACTTCTTCATCTGTCTAGACTGTTGCTTCATCAGCTGTGTTGCTCTCTTTCCACTTTAGATCTAAAACAGGTGGATGACACAATGAAACCTGCATCGGAGAGGCCTAAACGCAGACATGCAAGGCCGCACGAGCTAGACAGTGAGGATGATGATGTTGAAGGGAAAGAAACAGAAGAAATGATGCCAGACAAGATGAAGGCTATTGTGCCTGAAGACAGCGCCTCTCAGAACCTGGTAAATAGGCATTTTTCATGAAAAGTAACCAAACCAAAAGGTAGTTCAGCGGCATAAATTATGAAATTCTAAAGGCTCCATAATGTAAATATTGTTGTGTTTAGTGTGACAGAGGAAATGACAATGATGATGAGAGTAATCACACCGAGGAAGAATTCAAAGTGGCACAAAAACCTTTAGAGGATGAATTAGCCGTCACTTCCCACATCAGTGATGGATTGCAGTGCTTGGATGGCGGTATGTTACAAGGTCATATAGCCACAACACTGAAAACTTAAGAAGAGTCACAAGCCTATAATTATGTTTTTGTTTCTGTTTTACAGAGATTTTTTCAGACAGCTGCTCCTCAGGGGAAAGTGAGTATGAGTCGTCAGACTTTGACTCCGCTGACTCCTTCTCCTCAGGCAGCTTTGAGGACTCGTCCTCCTCTAACCTCAGTCCTGAAGATGATGAAGCCATGGAGGAGGAGGAAGAGCACAACAGGAGTTATGGGTGTATAGTTATATCGTCAGATGAAGAGTCAATGGAGCTGGAGCCTTCCCTTGACTCAGCGGCCCCGCTAACCCCCGGTGCTCAGCTTGATCTTTGCCTGCAGGACTGGTCAGATCCACTCCACACGGAGGATAGAGAGAACCAGTGCACAGACTGTCAACAAGACTCACAAGACTTTGATGCTCTGATGGAGCTCCAAACCAGTGCACCCCAGGACCTACAGCCCCCATCTCCTCTTGGACTTCCAGGTTATACGTCTGTTTGATGGAGACTGAATCAGTTTACTCAGTGCTGGGTGAAAAGGCCAAAAATGATGTCATAACACATATTTTCTCATCAGTCAATATCAGGAATTATACTGATAAATGTCAAACTTTAATTTATTTTATTTTAAAGACTGATTTTTGCTCCTGAGTGAAGGTTGTGAACTCTTCTTTATGAGCAGAGAATGGCAAACATCTGAGGTAGATCAATTATGTGTTGTATTTGTATATATTAGCAGATATATTGGTATTGATTAAAATGATATTTCTATAAGTATTGATCTAATTTTATCGCCCAGCCCTAAGTAAACGGTTTCATGTCAGTCAAAGATGATCAAATTGATGTTATTGTATTTTTGATTCCCCCAAATTTTCTGGCAACTAATTGAGATAAAAATCAGTCAAACTATTTCCAGATTCTGTTTAATGTGCATTTAACAGGATTTCAATAATCTCAGATGACCTGTTAAAAAGGCTGTATATTCTGTTAATTAAGTCATCCTTGTTATTTATCTGTGTAGCAGCTGAGCCGTACCTCGACTCGGATATGGAGAGCCCTGAATGGTCGCTGGAGTCTCTGGAAACCATGGAAAACCTGAGGCCTCTCACCCCCACTGGCTGCTTGGTGGACAGTGACCCTGACATCCTGATTAAAAGCAAACCAACATCTCCGGCTGTGGAGGAGGTGGAACGACCACAAACACCAGGCAAGAGGACTGTGGCTGAGCTAGAAAGTGAGGACTCAAATGAAGCCAGTGAATTCTTGTTCCGTTCCCCAGTGAGGAGCGAGCTCATTCTAGCTCCCTCTGACCTCCCAGCGTCCTCATATCATTTGTACCAGGAGGTACCGAAAACTCCAGGTAGAGAGGAGAGAAGTGGATGGACACAGTACAGCTCTGTGAGAACTCCAGCAACACCTGGCAGAGAGACAACAATATCAGAAGGTAGTGCTGTGATGTGCTCACCTCTTAAAAGCCCTCCACTAATTCCAGCTCTGTCCAACAATCCGTATATAATAGCTCCAAAGACTCCTGGAAGAGACATTGTCCTACCCCAAAGAGCAGTCGTCCACAGGAGGAAAACACAAATGGTGGCCACCTCACAGCCCCAGTGGTGTGACTACTCTCTTGGAGATTGTCCCATCACATTGTCCTCTCCATGCAGTCTCTCTGAATCTTCATCTGACGTGGCTGGCGGGAGGGGTGCGTGGACCAGTTCACGTGTGAGAACAAAGCCTTTGCAGGGACTGGAGAATATGCCCGGCCATTTGGGTGAGGATAAATCCATATTTAGGCGAAAACAATTGAGGCGACTAAAGAGGAGATGGAGAGCCCGTCATCGGCAGCGATCACTTAAAAGACCCGCTGGTCCACATTCCTACCACAGTCGTCCTCACAGGGGGCGCTCATGGCGTGAGGAGAGGAGAATCGTTCATAGTGTTTGGAAGGAGGGTCTGGATCAAGAAGATGCGAGGCTGCTGCAGTCGACATATGAGAGGCTGCAAGAGCAACATAATGGGCTTGGGTGGCTCAGTGACACACTCTGGATACCTCACCCTCATATCCTTTTTATTTAATGTTCAGTTTCGTAGGTCAACGTTCAATGTTTCAAGTAATTGATAATGTATGCACAGGGGGTGGGATTATCTTAGAAGTTGTGCTGGACCATGCACAAATAACTGATAGATTCTTTAAAGTTTTATATTTATGAATATATGATTTACAAATAAACTACAAATAAAATACTAACCTCAGTAAAGCACATACCTCTGTCAGGGCCCAACAGTCCGCTTAAATTCAATCAAGCTGCATCAAATTGCACACACATTAATGAACATCAATCTTCTGAATGTGAGTGATGCATTGGTTCTGTTTATCTTATTAAATGTTTGATATTCTTGACTGCTGCTCACTGACTAAAGCCCTCACAGATCAGAGTGAGGAACAAAATTCGTGGCCAAACCACAGGACCGGCTCTGCTCGCAGTGAAGGTTTCTACAAAATCAGCAGGAAGGACAAATTGAAATATCTCAAAAACACAAAGCTGGACGCTGAGCTTCCATCCACGAGTACTCAGGTAGGAAAGAGGGGGATCTGTGGAGATCTCAGAGCCCAGGTTAATCCTTTTAGTGATAAATGTCATCATACACTGTGTATGTCTGCAGGGAACTTCTATTCCAGCCCAGCAACCCTCCTCACTGCTGCGTGCTGGATCTGACTTCAGGTCTGAACAGCGCCGCCTGCTGTCCTCTTTCAGCTGCGACAGTGACCTGGTCAAGTTCAACCAGCTGCAGGTAAAAAATGACACTGATACGATCAGAGTCCAACAGATATTTTTGGTCGCTATCGACCTATCACAGATATATCTGTGTTGCCCTGAGTAATGTCTGACATGTGTTGGTATGACTTAATGTCATAATTTGAAGAGTAAACATTTAAAGAAATAGCACAGAGAGACGATTTGTACTAAATGTAGCTACTACTATTGTCCATTTGTGATTTTAACCCTAAGCAGGTGAATAGAGACAATAAAACACAGCAAAATATACCTTCTCCTCATATAAAGAACCAACAATGCAATATTGGCTAATATATCAATAATAACAATAAGCATTGATAAATAACAGCCAATTAAAAAAATCTGCTTTCCATTTCAAAAGAAGCTTACTTAAACCTTTTAAGTCCAAAGCATTCAATATGAATGATTTGCCACTTGTTGCTTCCCTGAACCACATACTGTCCTTTTCTGAATTGTGTAAAAAGCAAAGCAGCGATACAGATTTACTGTATACAGATCAGTCTTCAAGTCCCATGTTAAATATGAAATAGATTAGACCTCATCAGATACTGAGCCAGTTTGTTTGTATGTAGATCTGGTGATATTGGTATCTTGCTGTATTGACAGATGTATAGTAAACACTGATACTTAGATTTCTGTTGCCACACAAACACAGTTGGGTTCTTTCTGTTTCGCTGGAATCTCTGTCCATATTTACCCTAAAATTGACACAGTGATTTGATTGATGATTTGAGTTACCTCTCATGTTTGTATTTGCAGCTGTTGTTAACAAATGGTATTTGTCTCATATTGAAATGATTTCTTTTGTATTTTCTTGTATCAGTTTCGAAAGAAGAGGATTCGTTTCAGTCGGAGTCACATTCATGAGTGGGGCCTGTTTGCCATGGAGCCTATAGCAGCAGAAGAGATGGTGATTGAGTATGTGGGACAAATCATCAGACAGGTGAGGCAAATGGAAACTAATGACAAGGCTCAGAAACAAATTCACCAGGCAAGCTTTTTAACAAACCCCTATCCTCCTGACTGTTTTCTGTGAATGGACCCACTGCTCCACTGGGACCCCCTGGTTGTTCTGGGTAGTTTCCAGGAGTGTGAGTCAAGCGATGAACAGCGCTGTTAAGAATAGATCTGTTTTTCATTGCCTCAGGTCATTGCTGACATGAGGGAGCAGAGATATGAAGAGGAGGGCATCGGCAGCAGCTATTTGTTCCGGGTTGATCAGGACACCATCATTGATGCCACTAAATATGGGAACTTAGCCAGATTCATCAACCACAGCTGCAATGTGAGTGAGAGTTGCTGAGACTGTGTCTGGGGAATGTTTTGTTTAATGTTAAATGTTCTTAATGCAAAGTAACTTCACATTCTTCAGAGGCAGATGTAGGATTTTTCTAAATCAGGGGCTATAAAGGGGCCATAATTTACACAGAGGGGCCAATTATATGACCAACACATGCACAACTCTAACTATGCACATTTAAATTATTCCTTGTTCACCGTTCACAGCTAGCAAGATAACTTTGAGCAAAACCACATATCATTTAACATTCAAAATTGTTTCCTGTACGGCACCATGTTTAGAAAATAAACATTCTTAACAAACTCATATTTATGGTTAGCTATTGTTTTTATAAAGACAACTGACAGGGAGGGGCACTCCAGGGGCCAATCAGATTTCAGCTGGGGCCAGTGCCCCCCTGACTCCACCCCTGGATCCGCTCCTGACATTCTCATCAAAACGTTTGCACTCATTATTATTATTTCTTTTGTCCTGCAGCCTAACTGCTACGCTAAGATTATCACTGTGGAGTCTCAGAAGAAGATCGTGATATATTCCCGGCAGCCGATAAGCATCAACGAGGAGATAACATACGACTACAAATTTCCCATCGAGGAGACAAAGATTCCTTGCTTGTGTGGAGCAGAAAGCTGCTGCGGCTCCTTGAACTGAGCTCCAATGAAGTGTCCTTATTATGTCAAGAGCCAAAGTTGCCTGAGGTACTGCACAATATAAACACAGACACCAGATAAGTGTCAAAACATTTTTCATTTTTATTACTATTCAGACAGTAAAGTCGATAATTTATTAAAAGCACTGCATCATGATCGACGGGATGATATGGCGATGCTACGTGGTGAATATTGATTTTACATTTTTTCGTTATAAAATATTTATTAAGTTCATGAATACCTTGCAGTTGTGTGTTACATCACACTAAAGGCCTCTGTTACAATGAAATGTCTGTTGACCTCGTTGTCCTGTTGATAACATGAATGTATCGTTAAATGTTTTCGTTCATGAGAGCTTCAACTGTGTTTTGCTTGAGTCAAGCTTGTATCAAAAATGTTGGTGTTAATATTTTATGATAAGAAAGCATTTCTTTAGGAATGTTTAGTCGTGATGTTCTCTTCTTACTAATGAGGTAACATAAAATAAAGATTTGAATAATAAAACAAGCAAGTCACAAAAATATCTGGTTAACACGACCCTCAACAGACCGTGTATTTATATATTGAATACATAGTTATTGAGACTAACACAGGGTTCACATGTTCTTTGTAACTCCATTCGGTGTCAGGATCGTCAGGTTTCCTCTGGCGTGCTGCTCGGCTTCAATAGCTTCGAAAAGAGATTTGAAGTTTCCTGCCCCGAAGCCCTGTGAGCAAATGCAAACATATATATATATATATATATATATATATATATATAAGTTAATAATATTATTATACACTGAGAACAGTACACTGAACACAGAACAGGTGTTTCCTAATCAAGACATGAAAAATGTATCTCCCTGTGTTCATCTTCCCAGCGGCGCCCTCACCTGATGATTGTGTCTCTGGATGACTTCCAAGAACACAGTGGGGCGATCCTGAACTGGCTTGGTGAAGATTTGAAGTAAATAACCGTTGTCGTCATAGTCCACCAAGATCTTCAGTTCCTGTAAAAAGCATTAAGTCAAGACTTGATATTTACAGGCTGTTACGGGGATGAAGTGTTGACGCAGTCGTACACGAACGACAGTGATCTGTGCACATTTTGTGACACTTAAATTAACTTATATTACATAAGTTAAGTTAAGTTTACAGCTAAGTTCTGACAAAGCATAAAAACATCCGTCCTCCATGTTTGTTAAAAAAAATATGGCTGAAATTCGGACCTGCAGGACGTCCAGGTCCTCTGTGATTTTGAGCTTGGAGTGTTTCAGATTCTCCCTCAGCTGCTCGTAGTAGGTCTCCGGCACTGACATAAACTCCATCCCACGTTCCTTTAGGTTACGAATCTGCACAGAAGGAATTCACAAAGTTAGTGTTTTTGCTGCAGGGATGCATCCACATGCAAAAGCCACACAGTATTTCATAGACTTACTGCAGTGATTATATCTGATGTGTTCATGGCTATATGCTGCACTCCTGGACCTCCATAGTACTCCACATACTCCTAAGTGAGAAAATATGGAAAGGACACCTGCTGTTATTAAAGAAGTAAATGGTGTCTAGTCCACATGTTTGTTCAGGTGTAAACTAACATGCCTGGATCTGAGATTTTCTCTTCCCGATAGCTGGCTCGTTGATGGGCATCTTCACGGTCTCCTCATAGTTTGCCACTACGATGGATCGCAGGGCACTGAACTCTGTCTGAAGCTGTTTATCATCCACCGACCAGAAGCGGTGAAAGAGAAGGTTCCTCTGATACCTGTAAGATCAGGAACCAGCTCAACAAAGATCAGTAAACACTTGAAGAATTAACACACATGCACCTTATGTCAAATCATTTTTAAATTCAGTGTTTCTGATTTTTTAAAGGTTTGGAGAACTGCAGCCTGCTCAATTTAAATGAGTGATATTTTCAGACATGAGCCAAATAGTTTCTTCACATCTTAAACCCTTGGGTATGTGTTACACCCCTTGTCTGAAGGATCAACCAATGATCTTGCTCATTTGGAGAACTGCCTTTCACCACATATTCATTCCACATAGAAACAAGATCCAGATGTGGAAAACCACTGGGGACCTACTTTAAAAAACTCATGAGTCATGCTGATGCTGGACTCAGAGTTACGTAAGAATCATACGGCCATTGACTCTGCTTTCTATCAACTTCACCTGCTTATTTGCATGTTGCATATTTCTACTCTCCCTTTAAGTCCATTACCATTCCACCACTGGAACCATCTCGTCGTCCGGCTGGTTTCCCACAACGTGATCGATGAAGTTCAGTTTTCCACTGGGACTGCATGTACAGACAAAAGCAAAACCACACAAACATACAACATCCATAAGTTCTGATTCACACAGAAACACGTTATAAACTTGTGCAGAAACACATGAACTCACAGTTTGGCTAACGAAGGGTCCTTGAACAGAGGGGGGAGGAATCCTGGCAGAAACAGCCCAGTGTATCCTGTCCTCTCCACAAACGTGTGTGTGGTGTCACCATACTGCAGCAAACACAAGCAAGTCTATAACCCTGCCGGTTCTTAAATGTATCATCAACTAACTTCAGAAGGTGTACCCCTGAAATATGACGATGGATGTAAATTCATAGCATTCATTCTCAGTGACTTCTCTCACCGTCTGAAGCACAGCCAGTCGGACTTTTCCATATTTGTCCTCCAAGGTGTGAGGCTCCTTTATAATAACTGCACCTCGCTCACAGGCTTTCTGAGAGCAGAGAGAAAGTTAATGGATTGAGAGCAAAAATAACAGCAATTGAATGTAGAATCAAAAGTGAAGCATTACCTGCACAAGGAGGTCACAGTCCTCCACTGTAAATGCGATATCCTTCACTCCATCCCCATGTTTGACCAAATGGTCTCCCATCTCTGAGAAAAACATTTTCCTGATGTCATTTGAAAGTTCAGTGCAAACTATTGTAAATTTGAACAGTGCAGAGCCCCTGAAGTCCCAACATGTGACCAATTATATGTGTGTGCACAAGGTAATAACTTTTGCACACACAATAAATGTAAAATAAAATAATTACTTTGTCAGTATAAGTAAATATCTGCATAATAAAGGCATGGTTTGCTTATGCTTTGAGAACCTGGGGGGTGCTC